TTATACTCTTTTTTTCAACACCATCTTATTATTATTAATTAAAAATAACAAATCAAAGAATAAATAAAAAAATACTTTTTCTTTAGTAAGTGGAGTGAATCTACTTGCCTCCAAATTCTCCTTTACCAATAACCTGATGAAGCTTCAAGTCTTTTCTGCTCATAGACCATCCGCCTGTTAGTCAGTTAAAAAGGAAAAGACATATTAGTGAAAACATTCACTAATGGTGAACACGGTTCAGCACATCATTGCATCATTAAAACACAACAAACTGAGTCTTACTCCTGGAGAACTCGTCCTGAGCAGCCACAGTTCCCTCCTCTAGCTTTGGTTTAATCAGCTTGGTGCACAGGCCGTCTGCATCTTTGGTGTAGTGCTGGAGAAGGTCAGATGTAGACAGTTTAAAGTAACAGGCAGACGCTTAAAAGAAAGAAAAATTCAGTCATGTGAAAAAGTAAAAACGAAACGAATTAATTGCCCAGTTCTGCTCTGTGGACGGTTTTGGTTGTGACTGTGGGTTATCCTCTTAATTTGATGAATAAAAATAAATGTTTGCGTTTTCTGCTCTAGAGAAGAAGCTGAACTTTCAAAGTCCGCCTGCTTCATTCATGTTTGATAAACTTTGATCGACAGACTGATTATTATCTAGAAGGAAAGAGAGACGGTGAAAGGATGTGATGAACAAGAAATTCTTCTGAAAGAAGAAAAAAAAAGCATCAGATACAGTCACCTTTATGTCTGCAACATACAGCAGCCATTTCACGATTAACGTTTTGACATTTAGGAGGAAAAAAGGTCCAACCGTTTCATGTGCCTATTATATATCTAAAAAGTAATAACTAGAGGTTTACCCCGGTCTAAATCAGCTGTTTAATCCATAGAGTTTAATTGTTTACCTGCAGCAAAAAAGATTTTATTAAATAAAACGATTTGTTTTGTGGTGAAATGAAAGAATTACTATTCTTGGTGTTTTAGACTACTGCTCCTACTGTTTAAGGATTAGGGCCGTTCTAACAAAGTGAAATGTGTGATGCTGCCAGCAGCTTGTATCACTATCTGCAGGGTGTGTTCACAATCATGTCCTGGTTTGTTCCTTCGTCTTCATGAGTCTGTTTGTTCACTAATGTTCTCTAACAAACCTCAGAGGACAGCTGTGTTACTGAATTACACACAGATTGGACCCTATTTACCGAATAAGTTACGTCTACAGTCGGTTATTTGAATAAGAAATCATTGAAGGGTATGAGAGTGCTGGACTAAATTAGAAATGCATTCCAATTTTTCCTTCTTTTTATTATTCAAATATTGCACTTCGCAGTTATCTAACACATGATGCGGATCTGTAACAGAAAATCCAAATAACAACCTGAAAACTGAAGGTTTAACATGTGTGAAAAAGTTCAAGGTGTAAAAGAAGTCTGCAAGGCTAAAGACATATTTGAGAACATAGCATTTTACTGGCATTTCAACTGCCTCACTATATGGCATTGAGGTTTAAATTTTTTTTAATTCTTTGAATTATTTAGTAAATTATCTCCTGCCTTTTTTATTTTTTATTTTTTTCCAGGATTTTACTGCAAACTTTGGGTTTTTAATGATCTTTTAGTTTGATTTGAGTAGGGTGTAATGCCGCTTTTGACCACTTAGGTGTTTTGGGGGGC